GATTCTGGGAGTTGAAGTCCACACATCTTAAAGTTGCTGAGGTTGAGAAACATTGCTCTATTCTGATTTAGAAGGGCTTCTGCTCACCTGAATACCTCTGCCTTGAACCACGGGATCTCATAAAGCTGGTCACTCCTTTCCAGGGCTGCCAAAGTCAGTTTGTTGGCAAGAACGTCATCTGCAAACTAGAGAAGAAACTCAAAAGAATCCTGGAATCGTCCTGTTCATTTTTTTCATTGAGTAATAACAATTACAACACATTTTAGCACCCTTTTTCTTTGACTGTCTCTTTCCTGTTTTGACTGGTAAAATAAAAACAAGGAGTTAAAAAGGTCTAAAAAAAAAAAAAGTCTTGGGGCAACTCTCCTGTAGACCCTGTGTTTGCCTTTCATCAGAGCTTACCCCGGATTGTTGCAGGAAACCTGATTAAGGTCTTGAATGTATCCCACGGTTTGCTCTCTTAAGTGCTGCGGCTATTTTGAAAATATTTTTCAAAATATTTGAATATATCCCACGGTTTGCTCTCTTAAGTGCTGCAGTTATTTTGCAAAAGAGGGACAGAGGACCTGAGACTGTGATTTGCAAGCCACAATTGGGATTCCTTTGCTATTGCTTACCTTGTGGCTAAGCATTATGACTAAGGCTGATGTTTAATTAAAAAGCCACAATGCTGCAGATGTTGTCTGGCACACCCAAGTAAACAAACCATGAATATTGATTCCTGGTGTGTTCCAAGGGATGAAATGCTGGGCTTGGACCAGGAAAATCTGAGTTCAAATCAGGTCGTTTTTATCTGATGTGGCCAGCAATTATCCAACTGGAATGCTACGGCCTTGGCTGACGATGCGCCTCAAGCCATTCTAGGGAAAACCTTCTTGAACCACGTGGAGATGGGCCACCCTGGAGAAGAAATCTTACCTTGGACACCGACCTGAAGAAGAGCTGCAGTAAGACTGGGACGCTTTGGGCACATTGCCCGACACGAGGGTTACTGGCCATGGATCCCAAAAGCTGCCGGAGAGGAGTCAGCCTGCTGACAATCAAGCAACACGAGCCACGGTTCACAACACGAGGCTGTGTAAATTAGCCGCATCCAATAAAAAGGACTCGATCTCAACGATACCTGCCAGGGTCACTGGGAGTGGACTCAACCCGCAGGAGATAATGGAAGAGGCCCCTGTATTGTGGGTGGCGGAAGGCTTCCAGGCACGTGACGGGCTTTGAAGTTGGATCCGTGGTGGACCTCTCAGATAGGGGGGTCAGAACAGACCTAGTGAGAGATTTGAGAGAATACAGCCACATATACGCAAGCCTTGTGAGTTGTAACATCCACTAAAAGATGCACAGACAAAGAATTTGGAGATAAGACCACAGTGGGGCAACCTACTGCCCTCCAGATATTGCGCAACTTCAACTTCCAGCACCCCAACCAATGGTGGGATGCTGGAAAGGGTAGTTCAACAACATCTGGAGGACCACTGCAACGGTCAGTCAGTCCCTTCCCCGCATCCTCTGAAGCTTGTCTGTGCATCTTGGTTTGCCACTTCTCACAAAAAGCTTTGCCCCATTCAGTCCACCAGTCCCTAGACGTGGATTACAGGAAACTCCTTTTCTCTTACAAGAACCAGAATGGAAATTAATTTTTGACTGGTGGCATCCACGTTACCTCAGCTGGGTGTCCAGTGCAGCTGTTAAACAAGGGAGATCAAGCAGCAAGTGGAAGATCTCCAAGGCATTATCTGGGCTGAGCAGGGCTGGTAAAAGATCTATGTATTCAACAATCAGGGCTGGGCTATTCCACGCCAGGAGCTGCAAAGGGAAGCAACATGAACAGCCGTGAATGGGATCGATTTCTTAGAAGATCTCAAGAGAACCTTGCCCTGAGAAGAAAGCAGAGCGGATCCAAAGAAACAGACAAGGAAAAAATCCCCAACGGGAGTTCTCTCCACCCCCGTGTGCAATGCTGCCTATTGCTTGCATCAGCTTTGCCAAGCTTGTCCCTTCAGAGGTGCTGGGAAGACTCCCATCTTCCCCAGCATACCCAGTCCCTTGGGCAAGGCATGCTGTCTGCCACAGAGCTACATCCTTCCCTCAAATACAGGTAGTCCTCAACTTATGACTACAACTGGAACTGGAACTTCTGTCGCTAAGCGATGTGGTCATTAAGTGAGTCGTGCCTGATTTTACGACCTTTTTTGCTGCAATTGTTAAACAATTCACTTCAGTCATTAAGTGAATCATGCGGGCATTAAGGGAATCCAGTTTCCATCATTGACTTTGCTTGTTGGAAGCCCCCTGGGAAGATCGCAAATGGCAATCATGTGACCCCGGGATGCTGCAACCGTTGTAAATACATGCCAGACCGTGGGGATGCTGCAACAGTCATAAGCATCAGGACAAGTCACAAGTCACTTTTTCAACACCACTGTAACTTTGAAAGGTCGTTAAATGATTGGTCATAAGTTGAGGACCACGTGTAACAAAGTTCAGAGATGGAAGATTGAATTTGCTGTAATGTATCCAGCAGCTAAACTTTCTGTCAGGAAATACTGGAATTCCAACAGGGGAAGATAAGGGAAAGCAAACGTTTTCTACAAAACAGCTTGCAAAGAATGTCCAGTCTTCTGCCAAAGGAAGAATGGCTGCAACGGAAGGCAGAAAGCAAGAGAAATGGTCCAACATTCCCATCTCAGCCGCCTGCTACAAAACAGGCAACTTTGCAGGGAAGGCAAACTGGGCAGAGCAAGGAGGAAAAGCAATAGGTCTGGGCGGAGCCAGGACTTTCTGCTTCTCCTTGAGTTTTCAAGGTGTTAAAACTTGATTAAGACTATGAAAACTTTGCTAACGTTTGAGTGCATTTCCCAGGCCAAAATCATGGTAAACCACGCTGCCAGTTTTTTGGCAACTCCGACGTTTTCCGGGGTTCTTGCAGAAATCGGGAAGTTACGTGACCTCCGATGGTGGCAAGGGCATCCACAGGAGATGCGTGTGTGTCAAAACTGGCAAGCACCTCCTGCGGACGCCCCTGTAGGGGGGCCAGAAGTTCACAAGGCCAGAAGGGCCAGGTGCCCCGTACCTTGAATAGATTGGGGGTGCTCTGTTGGAAGACACTGAAATTCTCAGTAAAAAGTCTAGCATTCTGCCGGCAGAACTGGAGAAATTCATAGGCCAGGATGAGGTTGTGAAAAAGCTGAGCAGGAACTTTGCTGAAGAGATGCCGGTAAACAGCTTCGGAGTCCACAGCTGCTGTCTCACCTGGGTGGCAAAGAAATGCTTTAAATAAGGTAGTCCTCGCTTAACAACCACAATAGGGACCGGATAATTGGTTCTTAAGCTGGGCGGTTGTTAAGCGAATTGGACCTGATTTTACAACCTGCTTTATGGCGGTCATTAAGTGAATCACTGTGGTTAAGTGAGTCACATGGTCATTAAGCGAATCACATGGTTCCCCATTGATTTTGCTTGCTGGAAGCCATCTGAGAAGGTCACAAATGGCAATCACATGACCCCGGAATGCTGCAACCATCATAAGTGTAAGCTGGTGGCCAAACGCCTGGATCGTGATCATGTGACACTGGGGGTGCTGGGAAGGTCATAATTTTGGGCACCAGTTGTAAGTCACTTAACACCGCTGTAACTTTGAATGGCCACTAAATGAATGGTTGCTAAGCGAGGACTACCTGTACCTATGCAGCTCTGGACCAGGCCGAATTGGACTGCAAGCCCCTGCTAAGGCTGATGCCAGAAGTGGGCAACCTGAAAGCCACCCCCTCTTTTTTGCAGCACATGCTCTGCCCCTCAAACCTGGCAAAGCATCAAATCGCAGCCATGAAATGTTTTGCTTAACCCTTAACAATAAAAAAAAAAGAGAGAGAGAGAGAGATGTGGAGTTTTAAACCCCACTCCAAAAAATGAAAAATTGCAAAAAGGGGTCAAAGATTTTTTTTTTTAAGTTTTAAAAAGAGGCCCTGAGCTGCAAGGTTGGAAAAACCCCACCTTCCTGACTCACTGTGGTTCAGAAAAAACTGGGCAATGGGGATCAGCACGCGGGCATAAGAAAGATCCCCGCTGATCCGGCCGTGGAGGTTTTTCAGGCAGGAGAGTGAGCGGTAAACATAAGAGGAGTCTTGCCGGCAGATGATGTCCATCACGGTGACGGCTTCCACAAGACACTGGAAGGGGAAGAGAGCCAGAAGTCAAGCCCTGGCTCCTCTAAACCAGAGCCCTATCTCTCGGCGATACTTACAGCTTTCTGCAGCTCCGCATCTGCTTTCTTCAGAGCCCCTGATGGACAAAATTAACTGAGTTCAGATTCCTGATTGCCAGGATGGGGAACCCTTGGCGCCAGGATCAAATCCTGCCTGCTATTTTCACGCAGCTTACCCAAAACAAGCGTGGCGGGTGATTTCGCAAGGCGGCAAACCCTAACCCATTTGGATCCTAACCGCTGCTCAGCGGCAGGAAGAGCGGGATATAGATTTGCTAAGGTGGCAACTCCACCCACCATCAGTTCTGGCCCCTGCCCCCCCCCCCGAGAAAAGGGGGAGCTCCCCGGCATTGCACCTCTCCAGAAGACCCAGCCCGCGCTAACATCCTCTCTTCC